TGAGAGAAAAAAAAAACAAAAAAAAAATAGAAGCACGTGGATCGATGGGTGAGTAGGAATTTATTCTCCTCTCATGCAACATGAGAACTTCATTACCCAAATTTAAATGTCAAAAACTAGATAATATGTGCATATTTAAAAAAATTTAAAATTGTATTAGGTTATGTGAGTTTGGGTAATTTGTAGTAGGTTATACGTTCAATTCCCAATACAAAAAATAAATAAAATAAAATTGTATAATTAATTAAAAAAATAAAAAAAAATTGAAAGAAAAAAAAAAGAAAAAGAGAAGGGGTCAGAGGAGATTATTTTTTCCTTGTACTAAAAAACTAAAATTGATTCACTTAATAAAGTTAGAAAAAATATGACTTAATTAATTACATTCATTTCACCCAAAAAAATTTTAATGCCCTTATTTTTCCTAATTTATTGATGAGTCCCAACAAACTATATTACTCGGCTAAGTGGGAGAGACATGAGAGGTGAACTTACACTCTTGTCGGTGTTTTAGATGTACCTTAATACATTTCAAACGGTGCAAATATTACGTTGAAAACAAAAAATTTGATAATATAATTTAATATGCTAGAAATTAGAAAATGCCATATTTTCACTGCCCAATGCATTACTGTGAGAAAATCCAATCCCATGAATTACGCATGCATAGAGGGGGAAATGGTCACGTGGAGCGACTCCATTCTGTGATTGGTGGGAAGGCAGTGAGTATTATTTTTTATTTTTTTTTAGTTGAGGACAAAAAAAAAGATAGGGAAGGAGAACTTATTAGTGTCGTATTAGGGAAGGAAAGAAACAAGGTGATTTTGGCGTGTGAAGTAAGTGGTGGAAATGTTGACTTATGGATGTCACATTGTCAAAGTTTTGGTAAGAATTAGGAAAGGTGCCCCACTCGGCCACTCCCCCCTTATCCTATTTTAAATGAGCAGTCATTGGGTGGAAGTATGATGCACAAACCCCCATAGGTTGCTGCCTCAGCTATCGTGTTTCTAATGTAATGGACCAATGGTATTATTGGTATTCTAAGTCAAAGTTGCGACAACAAATCACTTCACGACCCACGATGCGTACGTAATGTTTCGAGTTTCGCTTCCACACTGCGCTCTCTACTTTTCAGTGTTCAAAACTCTCTTTCCGTTGCAACTCACCCTAGCTTTGATTTTGTTTATTTAACAAGAAAACTTTACATATATATATTATGGGATAGGATACTGTGACACCCAAGTTATGTTACACCCATGTGACACCCAGTCAATCTCACCGTTAGATCGCTTATATTGATCCAACGGTTATATTTATTTCCATCTTTGTATGGTCATGATTTCCCAAATTTAATATTTAATATTTATTTCTACCTTTGTATGGTTATGATTTCCCATATTTAATGCTTTCACTTTAAATTTGGGAAATCATGATCATACAAAGATGGAAATAAATATAATCGTTGGATCAACATAAGCGATCTAACGGTGAGATTGACTGGGTGTCACATGGGTGTAACATAACTTGGGTGTCACAATATCCTATCTCATATATTATATGGATAATAGCTTTCTCGTGCAGTAGAAAATAATAATTATCTCCTACTCACTCATTTGTATAGTTGGGGTTCACTTTCAAGAGAAGAGAAAAAAGAAGTAAAGTGTGATCCATCTTGAATTTGTATGTGTAGGAGGAATAAATCTTTGGTACTACTGCTGTACATAGATTCAGTGTATCCCATCAATGAGAACATTACACATCAGAGGAGAGAGAAAAAAATTGACAAAAAAAAAGGAATTTTAACTAACATGTAATATTTTCATTGGTGGGATGCACTGAATTTTTGGTACAGTAGTAGTACCAAAGATTTATTCGTGGAGGAGATAGATTTTTTCTTATGTAACTTAAAAATAATAAATTCCATATTATATATAGGGCTTTATTAATCTCATGTAATAGTAGATAAGCTCTCTCATGCTATAGAGACAATCGTGTGTGAGACCCATCACTTATAACAAAAAAATAAAACACGAAAATCGATGTATGTGTAAGAGAGAAAAATACGAAAAATACTCTCCTAATACATAAGAGTATATCTTCTCTTATTTATATATATATATATATATATATATATATATATATATATATATATATATATATATATATATATATATATGAGTAAAGGATTTCTTCAATCTCCGGAAATAAGGTTATCTCCAGTGAGCTCAAAACGATGTCATTTTGGGACGGAAATTAAGGTGTTTTTGTAATTATAACATATTGCAGGGTTATATCAGTTTTTATCATTATAATTTTTTAATCTTATAATCCCACAACGACGTCATTTTGAGCTCAATAGAGATAATTTTATCTCCGGTGACTAGAGAAATACTTTTCCCTAAATATATAGGGAAAACTTTTTTTCATATCGTAGGAGAGTTATTTTTTTGCACTGATAACCCTTCGATTTTCTTTCGCTTTTTTATATTTTTAATAGATGTGGGTCCCACAGTTTATGTGTCTACAGCATGAAATTTTTTTCTCATATGTATATATATATGGAAAAGTTATAGTTACTACCTATTTTTGTTACTACTTGTTATTACTAAATCGTAACTGTTGATTTTCGTCAATCTAATGATTATAATTATTTGGATCATACTTATTAATTATTAATTTTCAATAAATTATAACCGTTAGATTGACAAAAATCAACGGTTCCGATTTAGTAATAACAAGTACTAACAAAAAGAGCTAGTAACTATAATCTTCCTCTATATTTATAAATAATTAATATTTTTATATACATAAAACTATGCAAGATTCATATTATTATTTTTATATGATTTCACGTGAACTCATATATTTATATATATATATAAAAGATTAAATTATTTTATATAATAAAGTAAATATTCTTTTTGGTACTCAGCAAATTTCTCGATGGCCGCTCTAGTCCTTAGCAAATAAAAAGGCTATTCGTGGTCCCTAAGAAATTCAAAATGGACCCATTTAATTGAAATCGTACTCCCTCGTAAATTCAAAAAAAAAACCCATATTAATCCCTCAAAAGGACTAAAATGGATCTACTTTGAATTTCTTAGGGACCACGAATAGTCTTTTTATTTGATAAGAACTAAAGCGGGCATCGTAAAATTTGCTGAGAACCGAAAATGATATTTACTTAATATAATATAGTAATTTATATATATATATATATATATATATATATATATATATATATATATATATAGGAAAAGGATACTATGACAACCAAGTTGTGTGACTACTAATCAATCTCACCGTTAGATCAATTATATTTATTTCCATCTTTGTATGGTCATGATTCCCCATATTTAAAGTGAAAGCATTAAATATGGAAAATCATAATCATACAAAGATAAAAATAAATATAAAGTATTAAATATGGGGAATCATGACCATACAAAGATGGAAATAAATATAACCGTTGGATCAACATAATCGATCTAACGGTGAGATTGATTGATAGTCACTTGGTAGTAACACATCTTGGTTGCACAATATTCTTCCCCATATATATAGAGGAAAAGTGTTTCTACAGCCACTTTAGATAAGGTTATCTACAGCCACCATTTTTAACTATGTGCTCAGGGGAGAACATAGTTATAACATTAAAGTTATTTTTTTTTCTCTCTCCTCGTCAGCAAACAGGTTCTGAAAAGTAATTGATGAGAGAGAAAAGAGCTAGTAATTGAGGGGAGAAAAAGCAATTTTACTGTTATAATTATGTTCTCCCTGGAGAACATAGTTAAAATTGATGGTTGTAGATAACATTATCTAAAGTGGCTGCAGAAATATTTATCCCTATATATATATGTGTGTTTTATTAATATCATGTTTAAAGAGATAATTTATCTCATGTCATATAGACAAATTTGAGTGCTTCACCATCTGAAAATTAAAAAGAGAAGAAAAAAAATGGCACAGTTATCGAAGAAGAATGTGTAAGAGAGAAAATTATTACATGTAGCATAAGAATAGTTTATATATATATATATATATATATATATATATATTAGCACCGCTCCGTTCATTCGTACATAATCATCTCGACCTATATCGTGTTGACTCAATCCTCTTCCACTTTGACTGTGGTTTTTTGCTGCAAAACTGTCGCATGGCAGCCGTTTTCTTCGCTGATTACACTATCAGCTATTGACTATTTTCCTCCCTTGTTTTTTTTTTTTTTTTTTTTGTTATAAATAACGCTGTGGTAGAGAGTATCTTCAGTTACATTGTAATCAAACTTTAAAGGCCCAAGTTACCTCTCCAAAAAAAATAAAAATAAGAGAAAAGAAGTCAGAGCTCGAAATTGTTTATAAATGCAAGCATTGATTAATATCTTTAAAGCTCTTATAAATTATCTCTGTGTTGCGTTAGTGAACTTCTTATTCTCATCCACATAAGCAACTTGTTTTAATATTTAAGAACTATTTAATTCAAATACATTTAAGATTAAAAAAAAAAAAGTACAATGCCATGGTGATTGGTGGATATGGAAAAAACAAAAAAGCATGAGATCTGGCATCGAAAAAAATATGAGATCCATAGACGAAATAAAGAAAACTTTTTCCCCATAGAAAAAGTTGGCCGACTTTTTTTGCGAATTTTGCGCTTAGACAAGAGAGAGAGAGAGAGGGTAGTGATGTTTCCTTTATAAGTGCAAAGTGGTGAAGAAGCAGAGTCAACAGTGACAGTTTGGCAGCAGCCATTGGCATTCAAATTGGAAGCTTTTTCAGATTGGTAATAGTTGAGAACAGTAACACACACCTACTTGTCAGCAACAGTCACTCGTATACTAAATTCCCCAAATCTAGGTACAAAGTCATTGAGATCATTTGGATGAGTCCCTATCCCTATTCCTTCCATGTCCCTTTCCTCATTCCTCATTGAATTGGTTGCTTTATTTATGCACACCCTCATCTTCCTTCATCAACTACCAACCACACCAAGCATCTTCATCTCTCTTAAATGTTATTTTATTCCACCAATTGTCTGTATAGAATTTTAGTAAAAGGAACAAAATCAATGCCCTCATAACGCCAGTAGCCAGGCCCCGTTTTTGTGCTTCTTGACTAGTTATTAATATATCACCCTATCACTCTGCTTCTGCAACCTTGCTTTGCCATAACTCTTAAAGCTAAGTAAAAATACTTTTAACCCACTGTTCCCCCTCCTTTCCTTGCTTTTCACTTTTTCAGATTCTTTCTCTCTAAATTCTGAGCAAGGAATTTATATCCCCTGTCTGAGGTTTTATTGGGAAGATCTTCCACCCAGATCGTGTCTTTTCTTTAACCCTTTTGCTCTCCTTGTTCCTTTAAACCACTCCTCCAACCCCACCCGTTTTTTGTAGTTCTATCTTGTTAAGCTTTTTGCTTCGACATCACGCTCCAAAAATGGATGTAGGCTTCTTTTCTTTTCTTTTCTTTTTTTTTTCTTTTTTTCAGATTATTAATGTTTGATGTATTGGGTGATGAATATTAATTGTTTTACTTTTATTTTCATAGGAATGCAAGAGAAGTGGACAGATACCAGCGTTTGGGAACTGGGATTTCGCGAATGACTTGCCAATCACTCAGTACTTCGAGTGTGCAAGACAAGCTGGTTTGGTTCGTTACAGTTCATCCTCAGGCGAAAGTGATCCTTACATGCGTGGAGATCGCGACCTTTACGCTGTTGATTTTAAGAAACCTGTTCGGAGCATACAACCTTCGACTCTCAAAAAGGTCCCCTTTTTTTTGTTTTTACTTTTGGTTTTCGTACTATTTGTCTTATGATGTGGTTCCGGGGTTCATTTTGTATATAATCAAGCAAATCTTAGAAGCAACAAAAATTTTAAGGTTTAAGCTTCTGCATTTTATTTTATTTTATTTTTGTAATTATTTATCTGCAATATTTGTGGTACCGTGGAAAATAAATGCGTGTCGTCAAGAGTCATCATCATGACCCATGGTTAATAATGTGGTGGTTGAGACAGGACATGAAAGCTGAAAGCACATGGCTAGTTTGTTTCCTACGTTCTCGTTTTCTGGTTTACAATTTAACATGTTCTTCTCAGCGACCAAACCTTTTTTTATTATTTAATATTAAAAAAAGCAAGTAATGGTGGAAATTAAATTGTGTGTTGTGGGTACAGGGGACGAGGAACAGGGAAAGGAGGTGCCCGCATGTTATGGTTAAGGAGAAGGAAAGTATGAATATGAGAAAGCAGGGGAAAGTGTGTGACGTTACGGAACATCCAAGGAAGCTAATGAGCAAGCAGCTGCATCTACACGACGTCGTTCCGCAATATCCGCCGCCTCGTGTTGCTCCCAAACCCGTTGATGAAGATCTCTATAAGATCCCTCCAGAGCTCCTTCGTACAACCAAGCGGGTATTTTATTTTATTTTATTTATTTATTTGTGATTTGTGTCTTCCCAATACAATTCAAATTTTTATTTTGACTTTATTAAATATGCAGAAGAAAATGCTGGGTTTCATTTCCAAGTGTCTGGTACCTACTGCTTGCGTTTCATGAGCAGGACTATGTTGGAATCTACTCTCCAAACAACATAATTCCTAGGAGTTTTTTTTTTTTTTTTTTTTTTTTTTTTTTTTTTTTTTTAATTAGGGAAGGAGTGCCCATGTGTATTTCTGAGTAACGCTAGCTATGTTGTGCTGGTTTTTGCTGCACTCAGATGCTAAATGGACTTTTTTATGTTGAGAATGAATGTTAGTAGTTAATTTATTTTGTTGCTGCCCCTTTAGTCTCCATTTATTCTAGTCGGTGCTTGCATTTATTCTATTTCAATTCAATGTCTATTTGTTTGTATTATGTGGTGGATCTGCACATCCCAATGCCTTGAATTCATAGTGGTGCCACTTGCTGATGGTCAAGTTCCTTCTAATTAAGTTCTAATTAATGTTGGTGCTTTTTTAAATCAACTTAAATATTACTTTTTGAGTTTTTAAGCCCCCCCCCCCCCCCCCCTAATCATCCACATTCCATGCTACGCATGCATAAGTTAAGCGTGAGAATGTCGAGTTATGTCTCAACAAGTTAAAAACTCTTGTAGAACAATTAAATGTGTATTATGTTAATTTTGTACACTACTAATTATTATATTTTTTAAAAGTTGAGGGTAATGTCATGCATACTTCTCCATGAAGCATAGCTTAAACCACTTAATCTCTCGCGACTCACTTGAAGTAAATAGCATGAGTAATTAAAATGCATTTACAGACCGGAGGATTATAGTTCATAAATTGTATTTACGACGAATTACGTAGTGAGAGTTCCATCTATAGGCTCTCATTCCTCAGCTATCTTAAGTTCACTGAATCCTAGAACTTTAAAAAAGAATAAAATTATTGTACCGATAGACGGGATGGACATACATATGTTACGTTTCGAAGACAAAAAACTTTATTACCAACAAACTCGGAACACTAACCAAAATGTTACTGTTCAGTGACTTTTTTTACTTAAATGTCACGCGAATAGTGTTATTTTTTAATATGTCACGCGGGCACGTTTGCTACAGTGCCCAGCGAACTTGATTTGCTGACGTGACACATTTCTGGTGGACAACAAGTTCGCTACTGAAAATAGCGAACTATGTTGCAATAAATGCTGACATGCACCAAGTTCGCTGAAGGTCCAAGCAAACTAAGTGCCACGTGGTACAATCAGAATTAATGTATCAATCACAATAAAAAACAGAAAATGAAGGAAAATGACAATTTAATTAATGTGTCAATCAAAATTAATGTGCCAATTAGCAATCACAATTAATGTGTCAATCACAATTAGCGTACAAATAGGATTAACTTTTGATTGTACCAATCACAATTAATGTGCCAATTAACAACCACAATTAATGTGTCAATCACAATTAGCGTACAAATAGGATTAACTTTTGATTGTACCAATCACCAATCACTTCGGAGGGCCATAACTTTTGATTCGGATATCCAAATCAAATATTTTTTATTTTATTTCGTATAACTTTTCGAGATCTACCCAATGACACCTCATTTGACAAATTTTATCTCTCACAAACATCGTTCGAATTTGTAACAATGATATCACAAACAATTAATGTAACGACCAAAATTAATTGCGATTGATACATTAATTGTGATTGGTGATTGATAGATTGATTATGATCAAAATTAATTGTTAATGGTGATTGATATATTAATTGTGATTGGTAATTGGTACATTAATTGTGATTAATACATTAATTACAATTAATTGTCATTTTCCTTCATTTTCTGTTTTTTATTGTGATTGGAACATTAATTTTGATCGGGCAATGAGATTGTGCCACCTAGCACACCAAGTTCGCTACCCCTGGTAGCGAACTTAGTCCAGTCAACTTTTCCTGCAAAAGTATGTCATGTGTCACGAAATCATAGGCTTCTAAGTTCGCTACCAGTCGTAGCGAACTTGGACATGTGACAATCAATTTTCTTGCCAAAATGTGCCACATGTAACGAAATCATTGGCTACCAAGTTTGCTGGGCACTGTAGCGAACTTGCCCGCGTGGCATATTAGAAATTTATACTGTTAGCGTGGTATTTAGAAAAATAAATTGTGGAACAGTGGCACTTTGGTCACTGTTCCAACAAACTCAATGAGCTTGGAAATTTTCTTTGAAAAAAAAAATTATAGAATACTTTTACCTACATCCAAGGCCCATATGTGCTTTTTTAAGGAAAAAAAAACATTTTCAATTGAAACGTATTTTTTTTTCATAGATATATAGATAGTTTTTTGAAAGAGATAAATTTAGAAAAAAAAGTATTTTTTTTCAACTTAGAAAAAATAATTTTTGAATAGATAAAATATACTTTGTTAAGTTTATTTCATCGTACTTTAAGAATGTATGTGCTGAATAAAGCATTATAATTTATAGAATAAAATGTTTTTCATAAAAAAATACTTTTTTTAGCTAAAACAAACTTGACGTAAGAACATTAGGACTTTAGAACAAAATCTCAACCCTTTTATATTGAGATTAAGTTAGTAGAATGTGACAAACACAGGAGCGGATTGAGAGGGGAGTTAGCATGCATGGACGTCGTCCTCCACTTCACCCCAAATTTAGCTTTGTTATATGTTTTATATGGTAAATAAGTCTTTTAAATTATACATAATTTTGACTTCCTTTTAAAAATTGTTTTTTATTAATTTTGAATTTTAAAATATTTATTATTCTCGCCTCTTCACAAAAGTTCTTGGGTACGCCATTGATGATGATGACAACCTATTCTTTTATTGAGTATGTTATAGGAAAAATAAATCAAACCAAAAAAAATTGTTTTGCTTTCCTGCGTTTTTTTTTTTGTGATTTGTTTGTTTTGTTTACAATACAAATGTGTTGTAGAACTGTGTCGTGTAATTTACTTTTATTATGTTTTTTCAATTATATTATTCGTATAGGAAAAGTATATATTAAAATTGAAGAAAATTATCATAAGAAAAAAAGCCATCTTTTAGTAATTAGCAGTATAGTTTTGTTTCAAATCTTAGATTGAAGCATCATTTCAAAATAACTTCAAAATCCTCAAGCTAATTGTTTTTACTATATGCGGGGAAGAAAAATCTGTTGTCAAACCCACGGAAATAAAGTCACACAGCATGACCATTCAAGAGGAACATCAAACTGAGATATGTTACGTTTTTATTCTTGAGTCCTAACCATGCTTCTTCGTCTTCTTGGTTGTCGGGTACTTTTTAACTTTCAATCTCAAACTAAGTAGCCTGAAAAACATGCTTCAAATGACAAACCTGACAGCTCCCTGACAAACTTTTATGGGTTTTCAACGGAACTATAATACTGTCCTCCAAAACCTCATTTGGGGCTGAGGTGACTAATCCTGCAAGAAATAACGAAGGCCTACATCGTTAAGGCATGGCAGGCCTAGTAATTAGAAAGCTTACGAAAGCAGTTTCCCTAAGTGGCTCATTGGGCATAACAAATTCAAATAAGGAAACCTAAAATTAGTGTCTTATTTAGTTGATTTAGCTAGATTGGACTATAGGTCGCAAACCACAGTTTGACTTGGTGGAATAATTACTTTTTTTTAGTTATGCGGACACAAAATTATAAACATATTTTTATTATAATTTTACATACGTTTGGCATCTGCAAAAATGTAAAGTGCACTTGAACTCGAACGTTATTATTATTGTAAAGAATCAATTCTCTAAAACAAAATTAATTTAATCTAAAAGCTCAAGCTGTTGTGATCTTGTGGATAACTGAATATTGCATAAACTCAATTTTTAATTTACCGCCATGCTTTTTTTTATTTAATTTTATTAGAAAGTGGGAGTAATAAGGATTGAACTCATGACCTCTTGATCATTGAAGCTAAATACCTGTAAAAAATCAAATTAATCCAATTTTTTTAATAATTTATATTATCCTCTAAGAATTATAATTAAGAACTAAAAACTTACAAAATGTGATTTTTTAATTTATCTAAAAATAATATCAAACTGATTTTTTTTAATTTTTATTTATAATAATATAACTAAAGAATAATATTTCTTACCATACCCATTAATATTTTACATATATGCAATTTTTATTATCTAATCATAATAGATTTTATTTTATTTTATATAATTTTTTTTAGTATTCAATACTATTTAATTCAACCTGAGCATTGTAGACGCATATTGAAAGCGACTCTCTCAAACCATTTATTTTACATTTTATTTTACATATTTACATTTTGATTATGGAGATATAGAATATTGTTACTATCAATATTACTACCAATTTATTTCACCGTTAGATTGATTATGTTGATTCTTGTCACCATTTTAAATTTAATTAAATGGTATTTTTTTATGTAAAGTTATATTATTTAAAAAATGATATTATTAAAATTAATTAAATCATAAATATTCTTTTAAAAAATCGTAACTTTGAGTTTGTTACTACATGAAGAAATATGTCAGAGCAGAAGTTATGCGGTTAAGTCAAAATAAAACTTTTACAACTTAAGTTTTTTATTATTATATTATTCATTTCATTTTATTTTCTTTTTTTGAGTGGACCAATATTTATAAAAATTATTAATTAATTGTATAATTAAATTAACTTTAAGTAACCATTTTTTATATGAGGAGAGATATTCTAACTACTAAAATCTTTCACTACCAACTTACTACCTATCTAATCATCATTAGATTAATATTTTCTCTCTCTTCAAAAACTTTTTAACATTTTCTCTCTTTGATCCAATTGTGATGTGATGGGTAGTAAGTTAGTAGTGAAAATTTTTGGTAGTTAGAATATCTTCACTCTTTTTATATATATAAATCTAGGGAAAAGTAAATCTTATATTGTAAGAGAATTCAAATCTCATGTCATAGATACATCAAATGTGTGACCCATCTATTTAAAAAAAATAAAAAACAAAAAATAAGTGACACACCTTTTTATTTACAAAAAAAAAAGAAAAAAAAGAAGAAGAAGGATTTGTTTTTCTCGTGCATAAATCTATCAAGATGGTGATGGGTGGGATGAGAGCAATTTTTGACACAAGGAAGGAATGAGGTGGTACTGGCAAAGGCATAAGTTAAAATCGGGCCTGTAGTTTGGGCTTTTGTGGCTCTATTGGGTCACAGGATTTTCATGGTACCGAACAAAATCCTACGTATCTTCTATCTAAGTCTTTCTAGTTCTAGGTTTTCTTGGGTCTTTAATTTCCTTGCATAGCCAAGAGGTCCGTTTCACCTTACGCCCCTCAATCAATCCATGCCCATGTTGGAAGTTGGAAGTCATCCAGACGAAGATCATTATGCTGATTCTTGTCACCATTTTAAATGATGTAAAATTTAAACCATATATCTACGTAAGTAATTTGATTTATTTACTTCTAGATGCTGAATTTATATAAAGGTTTGTACAGTTGAAACCAAATTTTACCAAAAATAAAATAAAATTGGGCAGAACACCCACTAGATAGTTGGGAATTGGTGTACAATGTTATATCTTTACGAAACAGTATATTCGGATACTATTATTAAGATATTAATCAAAATCATTTGGATTTGTATAAAACAGGGAAGAAAGGTCTAAAACCTTGTTATTGGTGGACCATTTGTTTTGATTGGTGATTGTACCATCCTCCGCTGTTTGACATTTGTCAATCTCAAAAGGGTCTCAGAAAAGGTGGGGGGAAATGGTAGTTGGACGCTATCACTTCATGGTTTACATTATTGGTTTAATGATGATTTTATATATTAGATTTGGTTTCATTTTAGAACATTATTATATCGAAATATAAAACACTCAAAAAATGTTTCCAATATTCTTTTTTAAAATGAACTTTCTTATCACCTATGCAAATGGTTTTTTATTTTTTGAATATTTATGTATATCTGAAACATGATATAATAAATTCAAGCAAAATGGTTCAGAGGAAAAATATGCGCTGTGAAATGGATAAAATTCCAACACATCCATTTCAATTGAGATTGACACTCCTTTGGTCCCTTCCCTTGTCCTTGTGCATATTATCATTATCTCCTAGGCTATAGCCACAAAATGAAAGGGCTTTCCATCACTAAGATTCCTACAATTTCCATCTTCGGTTATCAAAATAGTGATTTATTGCCTGGCCAACAATAATGATGGTAATTGTTTACTTTGGAACAATCCGTGTGGAGCCCGTGAAGGAGTCGGACACGAAACATGGCTTGAAATAATGGCTTTTTGGGAGCAGTGGGTGGTGTTTTATAGTGCCACGAAAAGGACGTTGGAAATTCCTCAGCATATACACTTGTGTTTATTAGTAACTTTACTTTGCAAAGTAATATTACACACGGATTATTTTCTATCTATGTAATTTTTATTATTTGATTACAGCTGGTTTTATCAGAATTTGTACACGTTCACACTTTAATTTTCTTATTTCATTCTAATACCAGTTAATGTGAGAGAATAAGTGACGTGCAACAGAAATTTTCCAAATATGCATACCAATTTTGGTCCATCCACAGCAAGCATAAACTACCAAGTTAAAAACCAGTCAATTGAACCAAAAATCAGCAATCATTTCGGCCTTCCCAATTGAATTATGTGACTTATTGAGCTCACCCCTCGACTCACCAATGTTTTGTAACAAATCTATTATAATAAGTGATGATAATTGCAATGTAGAATTTGTTGAATTACTCATTATCAGTTGTTGCGACTAATGAATAAAGTAAAGCTCTAGGTACAAAGAACCTTATTTATAATAAGGCATCATCCCTGTACTTGGCCTGAATCATCCTCATTTTCAGTCACACTTTTTCATTCATATATGAGCAGACCAATCCACTGCTTCTGTTTCTTAGGACCTTTGACTTTGAGATAGACGGGTGGAACGTAACCATCTGCGTGCACTAAAACACATATACAATGGAATAACGAGTCAATCGGCACATCATTAAGCATCTGAATAATTAGGTATGACTGTGAGCAGCTTTGAATATTTTAGCATGTCGGTGACACTATGGCAATGGTGCTATACTGCTATCAGTGAATTTATACATAGTAAAAACAAATTTTGAATAGAAAAAGTGCGCAAGTCAAAATAGTAATATATTAATTTAATATATAAAATGATAAATCCTGTGGGCAATCGCTCAGCTAATTGGTGCTTTTAAGTTTTAAAAAAAGAAAGTTCGGTAAATAGTAGCCAGCCGTACGTTGCCGACAGTCTTCAAGGGTTGGCGGTGGAAGAAAACAAAGGGAGACCAGACCCCACACCACTCCCACTCTAACGCTTTGATTAGTTATTCCTTCTCGGCGTTATTATATCAAGTTACCAACAATGAATACCACATACAAGAGGGCCATCAACGAAATACAAGTAGACAATTTGTCAGCACCCGAAACTGGTTGGCTAGGTGACAAAGAATAGTACAAATTTAGATTTCAAAAGCATCCATCACGGGAGTCAGGCAATGAGAAAGTAAAGAATAGTAACTTATTCGCAACCTTTGGTAGAGAAGAGAGCTTTTTGAAAAGGAATAAAGAATGGGAATAGAATGAAATAAAGAAAATAAAGCAAAACACTCTGCTCATTCATTCATAAGCCTGATTGAATGTGAAGGTACTGTATGCAGGTAATGTACAAAATATGTGAACTTTTCTTTACCATTTTTACAGCTACCTGTGGTGGTTTGTACAGAAAGAACTGACCACATTTATTTACAAAGTGGTGATTTCTAATTTTCAAGATTTAATTTCACTAAGCAGTGTGTGTTAAGGAGGGAGATCTTCTGAGCCTATCAAGAATCCCGTTAGCCTTTCTTTTCGCCCTTGAAGTTCCACATTGTGCAAGCTTAGACAGTGTACCGTTGGCTTTTTCTTCTTCTCTGATTTCCTTCCACTTTGTTCTATCGCTATAACAGATTGTATATAGAATTGCAACACAATTTTCCTTGCTGCGTTCTGAAGTGCTCTCCCTTAAAATACCCAGTAAGAAAGGAACAGCACCGAGATCACCCATTTCTTCAACAGCCTTAGGATGACTGGAGAGGAGTGCCAGTATAGCCAACAACTCATCAACTAGAATGTGATCCACGATCTTGTTCAGAATAACCCGAACTGCCCCTTCTTGCACAGTCCTCCCTTTATTCTCGTGCACAAGACATAGGTTGAATATGGCTGAAGCAGCATCTTTCATGGCCATTGGCTGTCCCTCGTCTAAAAGGTCGAGCAAATATTTAATAGCTCCAGATTTTCCAATGATCTCCTTGTTGGAATCAAGTGCTGATAATGTGAAAATAGCTGCAGCAGCATTGCTTCTTGTTTGAATGGTACCAGATTTCAAGGCATCAATAAGCAGAGAAATGACAGTTGGATCCTCTGCAAACACTTTCTTATTATCATCATGAATTGAGAGATTTAGAACAGTTGTGATTAAGTCCTCATGTAGATCAGGGTGAATACACGCCGTGCCAGGTGATAATGGACTGAGCAACTGCGGAATCACATCACTAGACTGCTGCCCAAAGAGGGTTCGAAATGAAGGCATTCGCTTTGTTAACAGCCGAAGCTCTTTTGCAGCTTCTTTCTGATCAGGAAGAGACAATGACAACTTTTGAAGCAGTGAATTCAAATGCTCCTTGTCAGCATCAGTTACTGCTTCATTGGCGTCCTGAACAGGCTTCGGTGGCTCAATTCCATGCTTCCTACACCAATGTGCAATCATGTCTCGGACCAAGTAATTAGGTGTAAGGATTGAGTGAGAGAGTACTTGCTGGGTTTGAGGGCATGTTCTGTGGCCTTCATTCAACCACCTCTGGATGAATGGCCGATCATAAGTCTGCAGCAGTTAGACAATGAAAATCAGAACACAACAATGAGTAAAACCGTTAATGGAATTATGGAAAGACCTCCCCAACTTGTACACTCTTTCCATCTTTCAACTTATACACATTGATTACATTATTACTTTTTCAACCATATAGGCTTCATCTAAACTCTAAAGGAATAAACATAATAAAACTAAATCTCAATCTCCTTATTTGAACCCAATAAACTAATCCATCAAATTGCATGTGTGATTTGAACAACTCGGTTCTTGTCAGTCACTGTTCTATAGCTTAAAAAATCAAAGCAAAATGAACACGAACTTATCAGTTGTGATGGTAATCTTGATCAACAAAATTAAAAACAAATCCATGGCAAAAAGCAATTGTATCACAGGACAGGAATGTGCACAAGCAATAACATGGCCAAAAATTGAAGATCAAAATTGATAAGAAAATTGCAAAATTAAGAAGAAAAGAATGAAGGAAAGTGCAATGTTACGGGAAAGAGGAGTAAAGAGAACCTGTCCAGTGGACAAGATAACAGGATCGCTCATCAATTGTGTTGAAATGGGGCATCGAAATTCGGGAGGAAAGGAAAAGTCATCCAATTTATCAGAGAAAGACTTGCCATACTTGAAATCCTTAAGAGCCGAAAGAGCAGCAATAGCCTCATCAACGGCGTTAACAGTATAGTCATCGCCCTCAACGATAATCTTCATCAGTCCCCGCAACTTCTCCTTCAATTCTAACGCCTTCCCACCGCTATCATCGCTCTTCGCCATTACCACAACAGAGAACAAGATTCACCGAGTAAAACGGAACAAGCTCACTCACTCACGATTCATTCATTCTTCTTTGCTTTGCTTCAATTTTTTGTTTTCTTTTTCCTCTCTCTCTCTCTCTCTCTCTCTCTCTCTCTGCGTGTGTGTTGATAAATGAAAATACAAAACAGCAGGAAATGGCATGTCACATTTTTTTTTCTGTGTGTGGTGTCAACTATGGCGGAGCGTAGGGCGAGAAATGTAAATAAAGTAAGCAAATTATAAAGGCAAGGCACCGACCAAGCCCGACCCGGACCGGACCGGCCCAGCCCAGGCAAATACCCGAATGGAAGCTGTGGGTGGTGTATTCGAGTAGAAGCTCACGGGAATGGAATACAGTCAATGCACTTTGCTTATTTTTGAATATTCCGTCTCTGATTCTCCTACCATCCAGATCTGCGCAACAAACCACGGGTTTTAAGGGATGCAAAATCAAATGCATTTAACACATCAAGAGCATGACAAAGAGCCTGTCATTTACTTGTAAGTTATTTCTAACTTAAAAGTTAAAAAAAAAATGTTATCAAAAAAAATGTTATCAAAAAAAAAAAAAAAGTTAAAAAAAAGCTTAAAAGGAAGAAATTAAAAGTTGTTTAGAAATTACACAAAAATTTTAGCTTAAAAATTACTTTAAAGCACATATTTCAAGAAAATTATCTCTCTCTATATCTTTATCACTCTTCATTTAAAAAAAAAGCACACAATTCAAGAAAAATAGATAAGAGCTTAAAAAAAACTTCTCCTAAGAGCTTTTAGTTTTCAGCTTTTGTCTTCATCATAAGAAAAAGAGCTTTTCGTTATAAGAGTTTTTCCCAAAACTTATTTGGCCTAACTTATGCTTATAAGTAGCTTCTAGCTTAAGAAAAAAAGAAGATCCAAACAAGCACAAAATCAAAATCTCTTCACACACAAATAAATGAATAAATAAAGGAGATTATTTTTTTATTTTTTTTTTTGATAACAAGGAGATTATTTTTCGTATGTTGCATAAGATAAAATAATCTTTCTACACATATAAATTTTATGTGGGAATCCACTTTAATTTGTTCTCTTTCCCGTATTCTCTCTCCTCTTTCTTTCTTTTGAGAGTGTAGGAAAATAATTTTCATCTCATGCAACATAAGAAAAACAATCCCCATAAATAAATAACCAATCATCTCAAGAAATTTATGTTACATATCATATATTTTTCAAAGGTTTTGAGTTAATGTCATGTTTTGAGTTAAATGTAAACATTATTATCATTATTTTAAATTTTTAATAATGTCCAAGAATGATGTTAAAACAACGTTTAACGTAAGGTTCATATTGGAGGTGACTAGGGGTGTTAACGGGCCAAACTAAGTCGAGCTTTGCTCTTAAAAGGTTAAGTATGTGTTTAAATGTGTTAGCCTGACCAAGCCTATTACCTGTTATGAATATAATTATCGGCATGTGGCTTGACTTATTTACAAAAAATAAAAACATGATTTAGCCTGTTTAAAAAAATTAAGACAATAAAAATGTATCCAAACAGAATATACAATCAACAACACTAGTAATTTCATAAATATTCATAAATTCAATGTATATCCAAACACCATAATATAGAACAAAATCATTCAAAAAAATCTGTTTAACCTATAAAATGGGGTGAAATGGATTGAGGAGAGAGAGAGAGCTATTACAAGTAGTATAAAAATATAAAATAAAAATAAAAATTAATATACTAGGTCAGCCTGAGAAGCTCTAAGGCCGAGCTTTTGTTTTGGAGCCTGAGGCCTTTTTATTAAGCGACCTTTTATACAAGTCCAAGCCTGATTCTAACAATTAATTTTAAACATGTAAGCTCATGCCTTCACGAGACAAACTAAAGATCTCTGAATGACCCTGGTTCATTTATCACCTGTGGAGGTGACAAAACATGAGAGAATGTGAACTTCCTATTTTGATCAAATCATTTTTTTTTATGGAAATTTAAAAAATAAAAAAACAGAGAAAATAATTTGGAATAAATAAATAAAAAATTATAATATACCGAAAGAATAGACAATATCTTGTTCCCTCCTGTTTAATTAATTATTGTGCATGAGGGAAGTTTTCTTTTTTTATTTCAGATAAAAGGTCCAACTAATTCAATAGTAAATCGGATTCATTTTGCCACAGTCACCAAGAGTTGAGGTTAGTTTCCTTTCATATTTCAATCAAAAAATTACGAATAAATCCATTCTTCTTAAAATTTTATATAATCTGATCATATGAAAATTTTATGTATACTTTATTCTTCATTAATATTAAATAAGTGAAGTCCAAATAAAATTTATAAAGAGAAATAAATACAATGAAATTTAATTTTAACCTAGGAGAATCCATTCCCCCATCATAATATTATAAGAGAGATAGACAAAATGATTCATAAGTTTGACCAAATTTCTTCCATCTTTTCTTTAATCAACAACTAATGAGGATATTATCGAGGATGATTTAGGGAGATTGATTGAAGGATTTAAAGTAGTTAAATGCCCAAATCAAGCATTAAGAAGGGGAAAGGCAGAGAGAAAAATAAACGCAAAAAAACACAGATAAAGAGAGGGAGGAAGGGGACCAAGATTTGAAGCAGTATAAAAGAAGGAGCAACTAAAATTAGTCAACATCAATCATCTTCAACTTAAAGTAAGCTCTGGTTTAAGTGCGTTAAGAGTTAAGACCTTATAAATCCTTTTCCTTTCTCCGTTCTAAAGTCATTCGGTTTTGTACTCTAATATTTTGTTTTGCTTTATATATATTAACAATTAATAAGTAGTCAAATTGGTTGTCATTAGAAATTCTTTGTTAAGAAATATATAATAATCATGACAATTTATTATGTTCCAACTATTCGATAAAGGCTTGATTTGTTCGGGATTTTTGTTTTACTTTGATTTTCAGTTTAATCTGTTTCTTTATTATTATTATTTGTTGTAGTAGTTGTAGTGTTGTACTATTGTTATATGTTTTCTTTTGGTTATTTTCTTTACATGTCAATAATTTTTTTTAATTATCTCATGAATATTAAAAATTTTACCTTTTTTAATTTTTTAGTCATTGTTTAATAAATTAGGCTATCGGGGAAATTTTTCTGAATAATTTTTCGTGTTTAATAATAAATTAAGAAAATATATAATAATTTTGAATTCAAAATCGAAGTAAATATTTTATTTATTTATTTACTGATTGTAATATTTTGTTTGCTTCTTGTTTAAAATACTTCGTTTTTTTATAAGTATTTTAGTTCAAATTTTTATTTCATAGACTTTAAGTCTGATTGCTACTCCTTTTGATTTGTACATAGTTAAATTAATTGCGCAATTTTTTTATTTTAAGTATTATATTTTATCTTTTTAAATCTTCATTGTAGTTTAATTTGTGAGGTAAAATAAACAATCTCAAAATTATTAATTCACGTAAATAATATTTGGGATTTAGTCTCCTCCATTTTTTCATGCCCAATATATTTTTCTAAAGAAATGTTTGGCCCAACTTCTTATCATAAGGGAAAGAAGCTGACATAAAATCAGGTGAAACATGCATTGAGTCGTAATAGATGACTCTGAAATTAATCACATCTGTCTGTTGAGCAGTGAATTATACTACGCACACAGGACAGGAGCCAAAGTGAAATAAAAGCACATTACCCAGATGATGAAATAGAAAGAATTAGACATGCTGAAGCCTGAAAGTTTGATGTTTGACCTAATACAATAGAAGCCGTAGTCCATGGTATAGCACTGCATGGGCCCAATCCTGCTCGCAAATTAGTTTCTCCCTTTTATTTGGGCTCCCTTACAACCTTCATATCTTAGTCCATTAGTCTCCATTGAAATATATATGACAAATTGGACCCAAACAAACACATAAGTTAATGATATTTAATTATTCATATGTATTTTTATCATCCAATTTTTATATTATTTTTAAATAATTATATTTTAAAAATACACGTTGGAAAAATATTTTTCGAGGGAAGTGATCGGTATTATATCTTATCGACACCCAGTTTTCTTTTTCTTTTTTTGAAAAGAAGTATAAGCCAACCATGTTGCGCTAAGTAGCATAATCTGCATTGCCCAATACCCATATTTTTTCAAAAATAAAAAAACAATGAATTTTTTCCTATTCCCTTTTTTTTTATAAAATACTCACATATCTACATAAATTATTAATTAATATTTTATTAAAATAATTATTATATTAATAATTCTTAATTAATATCAATAACAAATTAATTGTTAATGAAAAATGATTTGATGAATATTTTGCATTTATGAATTTTTAATAATTTTCAGACTCCTTGTGCAACTTGAGTGGCAGAGGCCAGAGGGTATTAGATTAAAAAGAATTATAGGAATATTTTTTTAACAATTTTAATTAAGTATAATTTTTTTAAAAAAATCAGAAATAATCAATTAATTAATTTATATAAAATTTCTATTAATGAATAATTAATTATTAATATTGATTGAAAAATCTTGATATAATAATATATTTATTAATAATTTTGATTATTTAATATTTCAAATATGTGAGTGTGAGGATGCGAGTAATATTTTATAAAAAAGAGAACATGGAATATTTTTTAAAATAAAATTAATGGGCCATACCATTTTTATTAAAAAAAGGTCACAGTGAAGATAACAATGTTTTAAAACTCCACCTCATCCGAGGGTTGACTCACTGAGTAACTAACCCCCTTTCTTTGAGGGTTGGGGGTCAAATGTTAGATCTTGCATGCACGTTGACCCTTTTGATCCTCAAAACCTCCAGTTGAAATCGTGACCCGCCGGTTGAAACCATGACCCGCCGGTTGAAACCGTGACTCCCGGGTCAGAGGATGTCATTGCATTTTAAAAAAAAAAAAAACTGAAATCTGAATTGCTCTTCCGATCTTCTCTGCCAGACACAGACCTAGTCTCCCTGATCTCGTGATCTCCTCCACAATGGTGGTGGGATTCCTCTTATCATCTTCAGTTTTCTATCTCCCTTTCCTCTGTTGTGCTGCTTCTTCTCTTCCCATCGTTGATTCGTCGCGCCACCGCTTCTCCTCAGCCATTCCCTCTTGGGTAAGAGATCTCTTTTCACATGCTGTTATAGGTGTGTGAGAAGGACAAGGAGAACATGCGTTTGATGATATAAC